ATCCAGTCACCACATATTAATGTAATCCAGTCACCACGCATTAATTTAATCCAGTCACCACGCATTAATTTAATCCAGTCACCACGTATTAATGTAATCCAGTCACCACATATTAATGTAATCCAGTCACCACATATTAATGTAATCCAGTCACCACGTATTAATGTAATCCAGTCACCACGTATTATTGTAATCCAGTCACTACATATTAATGTAATCCAGTCACCACGTATTAATGTAATCCAGTCACCACGTATTAATGTAATCCAGTCACCACATATTAATGTAATCCAGTCACCACGTATTAATGTAATCCAGTCACCACGTATTAATGTAATCCAGTCACCACATATTAATGTAATCCAGTCACCATGTATTAATGTAATCCAGTTCAAAAAACAGCCACCTTGTGAGAAAAATAGAACTGTCTTAGTTGAAGATGCCTCCTACACCCTGACAAAATGAATACTTATGTCCCCTAGTTCTACCATTTTCACCATTAAGTACAAAAAAGATAATGCACTGACTCTATGAATTCCCTTAAAAATCTTAAATAAATAAATCAGATCCCCCTATTACTCTTCCTTTTCCCAGCTAAAGGAATTTAAGAGATCTTAACCGTCGTTGGTAAACAACCTTTCTATCCCAGGTATCATTCTAGTAGTCCTCTTTTTAACAAGTCAGTCTTTCCCAAAGTAAGAAGCCCAAACCTGATCACGAGGTTACAAATAAAGCCTAACCAGTAACCTATACAGCAAAAGTATACCTCTTTCAATTTATATGCAATATTTCTGTAAACACAACCTAAAATTATATTTGCTCTACCACTAGTTACAGCAAGGCTTAAAAAACTGATCAACAAGAACACCAAAATCCTTTTCTTATACAGCATTGTAAAGGTTATTCTACAGCACTGTTAAGGTTATTCCACAGCATTGTTAAGGTTATTCTACAGCACTGTTAAGGTTATTCTACAGCATTGTTAAGGTTATTCTACAGCATTGTTAAAGTTATTCTACAGCACTGTTAAGGTTATTCTACAGCACTGTTAAGGTTATTCTACAGCACTGTTAAAGTTATTCTACAGCACTGTTAAGGTTATTCTACAGCACT